TTTTTTTTTGTTGTATAGCTGGCTTGGGCCAGGTTCGAACCCACCAACCTTGGTATATGTGGCTGGAGCCGTAACCACTGTGCTACTGGCACCGAGCCTGTAACTTCAACTCTTAGGTTTAACTCCTACCTCAGCTAGTTCCAGTGTGCATTACCATGCCTGACTAATTTTTTCTTTTAAATTTTATTGTAGAGATAGAGTCTTGCTATGTTGCCCAGGTTAGTCTCAAACTCCTGGCTGTTAGTCTCAAACTCCTGGCCTCAAGCAATGCTCCCACCTTGGCCTTCCAAAATACTGGGGGTTTTCTTTAAAAATAACATTTCATGCTGGGCCCGGTGGCTCACACCTGTAATCCCAGCACTCTGGGAGGCCGTGGCAGGCAGATCACCTAAGCTCAGGAGTTCAAGACCAGTCTGAGCTAGAGCAAGACCCCTGTCTCTAGAAATAGGCAGGTGTTGTGACGGGCAATCCCAGCTACTCTGGAGGCTGAGGACTCGCTTGAGCCCAAGAGTTTGAGGTTGCTGTGAGCAACACAGCACTCTACCAAAGATGACAAAGTGAGACTCGGTCTCAAGAAAAAAAATTTCATCAGTATATAAAAACTGTTTATGGCACAGACCATGTTCCTAAATCAGTTCTCTCTCTCTTTTTTTTGATTCATGTCAGACGGGTAATATGCTGATGTTGTAACAAGATTTGTAGGAGGTAGGCAGCGCCAGTGGCTCAGTGAGTAGGGCGCCGGCCCCATGTACCAAGGGTGGTGGGTTCAAACCCAGCCCTGGCCGAACTGCAACCAAAAAATAGCTGGGCATCGTGGCAGGCACCTGTAGTTCCAGTTACTTGGGAGGCTGAGGCAAGAGAATCGCCTAAGCCCAAGAGCTGGGGGTTACTGTGAGCTGTGATTACATGGCACTCTACCGAGGGCGATAAAGTGAGATTTTCTCTTAAAAGAAAAAAAAAAAAAGATTTGTGGGAGGCACATCTCACGCATGCACATGAAAACCCAATCATCACGCTTATGAACTACAAAAAGATCTAAATCAGTTCTCTTAAAAAGCCACAGAATTAAGTTTTGCTTGCCAGCATATAGACCCAGTGCCCTGGATATTACTAGTTAATATGCCCTGAAGTGGCATTGTCAAAGTAGGGAAGCTGTCAACGTAAATACCATTCACAGAGTGTCCTTCTAGCCCTTCAAGGCTGGGTGAGAGATGAGTTTTTAGTGTGGCAAGGAGTTGTTCCTGAAAACTATCAATTTTATTCTCCCACCTACAAAATCCCAGTTTATCCCTAAATTCAGTCCTGCTGTTTTAAATTACTGGTGTTTCTTAAAATCGCTTTCATAGCCAGTTCTATGTCTACACTGTACTTCAAATTATTTCTCTCATTCTTCTCAGCTATAAAGACTATGAGGCTTTTTTAAAAAATAACCTTTGCCAATCATAAGAAGGATTCACATTGCGTTTTATAGACTACTCAGATCATCTTAACTATTTTCTCTACTGGTGCTGTTTGAAACTTCTTTGGAGATTTTTAGTTAGAAGAAATTGAATGGTTGAATGGTTCAAGTGGCTAGCATTCAGACCTCCTCATGAGTATGTAGTTGATGCATTTGTTTTTACTAATTTAAAGTATATTTGAGCAATTCTACTTTCTCTAGTGATGTTTTCATGATGCTTAGTTAAAAGTCATTTCAGGCTCGGCGCCTGTGGCTCAAGCGGCTAAGGCGCTAGCCACATACACCTAAGGTGGCGGGTTCGTATCCCCAGCCTGGGCCTGCCAAACAACAATGATGGCTGCAACCAAAAAAATGGCCGGGTGTTGTGGTGGGCACCTGTGGTCCCAGCTACTTGGGAGGCTGAGGCAGGAGACTCGCTTGAGCCCAGGAGTTGGAGGTTGCTGTGAGT